AGGATTAAGGCTTACTCTGAAAAACTTGACTTCTATTATACTATTTTAGATGCGGGTTTTTGCGTTTTTGATTGCGTTTTAATAGGGTACGTCAACAGAATGTACACTAAGAAGAAATTTTTCGAAAAATTCCCCCCCACGAGGGAAGTGTTATAACACATTTATAATAGATACATTTTGAGCCACAACAAGGCGTGGCGGGGTCTGCTAGTTTTAGCTATAAAGTTATTAAAAGTGCAGTTTCGCCAAAATCGAACGTGAAGTGAGGTAACATCCTTTTTTAGGCATGCAAATTTGGTTATGTTTATACACGTGCAAGAGATACCTTGTAACGTTGTTCATCTGTATGCAATATAATAACTGTACACGAAAACTGTGTTATGTAACGTATTTTTATGTATAAATTTACTAATTGATTCAAAAAGTTCAGATAACTATATAACTATAATAAAATATTATAACCATAACCTTATTTTTTAAAATATTATAAAATGCAATAAAAATAGTGATGTTAGCAATTTAAAATAATAAGACTGGAAATTTCTAATATTGACTCATTCGGCGTCAGAAAATTCAACTCGGCGACGCATTCGTACGTTTTGTCTCACAAACTGTAATGATATACAGTTTGCATACAAAGCGACACGTCACGTGAACCACTGCTTTCTTAAAGTGGAATAAAGTTACGCGAAAATAATGTAATACAAGCGTCACGTTACGCGGGTTTCCACTGTATAAAGATGCAATCTTTATAAGATGAGCCCGGCTCTGCTTGGGCAAAAATAACAACAGCAAAGATTAAGATTATTAGATTATTTCGTGCTTCTAACCCTTCTCTTATATTATAGTATTTGATTTTATATTTACAAAGGTTATCTAACGCAAGGGTTTATCACACCGAGTGACCAATCTAACACATTTTAAAAATTCTTAATTCTTGTACTGTACACAATTTAAGGAATTCGTAAAATGTGTTAGATTGGTCACTCGGTGTTATAAACCCTTACGATAACCTTTGTATATATAAATCAAATACTATAATACAACTAACTAAAACAAAAACCATATAAAGTTAGGTTATTTCAGCCTACCATTGTCACGTTTATCGCGATACTCGGATGATATGAAATAGCACAAATTCAGTTGTCAAGAAGACAGGAATTAAAAATATATTTAAAAATTTTCAGATATATTATTTTCTAATGTTAACACTAAGAAACTGTACCATTCACAGCCAAATATCAAACGATAATCTGCCAACAATCAAATTTCGGAAAAAAAAAACGGACCAAATACTGTATTTAAACTCGGCATCCTAGCAAACCACTTAAATCATATTTTGTGCTGACCGGTAACTTTGTATTACGTAATTTTCCTATTTGAATGTCACCATATCGCTGCCCCGATAAGAAAGACGGAAATGTTGCAGAAGGGGGTCGAAGAAATTCGACCAAAAGCATTCGTTGACCTCCTCCCGGAAGAAAGAATAATCAACGACTACTAATTAATTAATATCTGTCTACTATTAATAATTGAAAAGTGATTCGTGTTAGACAGGTTGTAATGGTCCCGCATATGATCGAAGTTGCTAACCTTAACGTCCGAGACCTCGTATGAAACTTGTTTAATTAAAAAAAATTTTGTAAAATGCTAGAATAATTGCTTTTACGTGATAATAGTGTTCAAATTTTGGAACTAATTGTATAAACAACGTAGAAAGTATATTGTCGTAAATATTGCGTTTATAGAAAGATTATTAGGCTGCAATTTGAAAAAATTAGACCTATAAATTTTGACTATCGTCCATCTGAGTGTTGTCTGTCTGTCCTTTCTTAATCTCGAGAAAGGAATTAGATAAATGAAAGTAGAGACCAGATGTGGAAGCTTAGATGGATATTATTTATGTAAACACTTAATGTAAAAACAACAAACATTCTATCCCAGATATATAAACTAATATATTTAAATAGTTAAGAAACATCTTTTAATGCAATGAAATATTTTAACATTTTCAGACATGGCGAAATTTTATAGCCCAGATTAACTATATACGAACTTCTGGTTTGGAACGGAGTTGGATACATAACCGGCACGACTCTATCGCTAACAGGTAAAGTATGATGTACAGGGGCAAAACACTACTACACTCAACGCAGGCAAATGCTATCTGTCCAGTAATGACGCGTCTATTTCTTGATATACTATTGTCGGAGTAATTCAGTGAATATAATATATATATATATTTTATAAGAATTATATTTAGTTAATTATTCTGTTAACTTTTTGCCAATAGATGGGGCGCTGCGTGTAAAGCCAGCAATCAGATAGAGAGAAATTTATCGATATCTAGAACTCAAATCTATAATTGGGTGGGTGGGATGTACGACATTATCTATGTTGAAAGTATTTGAACGTAACAGCCTACTTTCGTAGTAATTGGACTAACGGCCTGGAAACGGTTTTATTGCTGACGCAGATTTTGAAATGTAAATGATATAAACCTGAAATACAGATAACATCAATGAATTTCCTTTACTCAAAATAATTTCTGACTACAATCGATGATATATATATATATATATATATATATATACCTATATGTTACGACTAAGCGCGTGAATGGGATAAAGCTAGGGTCATTGGCTAATGCTAGATTTATCGAATCCGCTCGGTTAAAACAAGTAACAATATATTAATTTGAACTTGGTGCGTATGAAGCGGTTAGTACATTATCAAAGTTGTTCTCGACTCATTACAATTGATGTAAACTACTGGACAATTAACATCTTTCCAGCGTAAATTACGAATGGCATCAAGATCCCTCACAATCTCATTGAAAAGTAAATTTCACGAACAGTTGATATTTTATATTCGTACAAACGAAAAATTAATAAATATTGAAAGAAATGGCACGATAATTGTAAACAGAACAATATACAAAACGAACTTATAATATAATATACCGTTACTTGATCTAATATATGTATTGATTAAATTTAATAAATAAAGTAATTAAAAATATTCTCCACTTTACTCTAAAGATAAAATTAAAATAAAGCTTGAATTTTAAAATTTAAATTTGATAAATGATTATTTTAAATCCGAATGATAGAAAATTTTAGTTTCTAATTTTTTCGTATTAATTCCGTATAAAGAAATGCATTTAGCACGTTTTTCCTGCTTTGATTAAATTATAATTTCATTTATTTACAGAACTTTGTTTTATTATTATTTAACCTATATCAAACAACTGACTTACCTTCCACACTAATATTTTCTTTGGATTCTTCTTCTATACAGTAGTCGCGATAACGTTTCTTGATTGGCAAGGAGTGACGTGGTAAAATACTTTGAACGGTATTTTTAATAATATTTTCAGCCTGGGATGATGCGAGCGTCGTATCCATGAACGATTCCTCTCTGGACAAAGTTAGGTCCAGAGGTTGTTCGTCGAATCTCTTTTTCACCGATTTAGTAGACTGTTCTACCATATCTCGAGTTCGCAATTGATAGGATATGAAGGGTCGAGGTGATGTCTGGTAATTAAACTGATGCCTGAAAGTTAGTATTTGTATAAAATATTGTTGTATAAAATAATTATTCATGTATTCTCTTTCTGATTATGATTATCTATAATTAAAAGTACCGTAGATTTCCGCAGATAAGACGATAGTTGAATCATAAAAAACGGCCCCAACATTTGGGGTCGTCTTATAGGACAGATATATGCTAAAACAATAAAACGGTGACGAAAATTTATACCTCGTCTTATCTGAAAGTTGTCTTATCTGCGGAAATATACGGTTATTCTATTGTGTCATATAAATACAACATTTTTGCATAATATGTATATACTCATATACATATTATGACATTAAAATTAACCTAGTTAGTATATAATATAAAATTCAGTTTAGCTTGTCTGAAAACAAAAGCCAAATTAACAAGCAAATATTTGTTAATTTCATTTTAAACAAATAGAATCTCTAAACTATTAGATTTGTTTTTAAATTATTTGTTTTTGTTTCTATAAAGTTCTTACTAATTCGAAAGTTCAATTTTAGCCTTTATTTCGAAAAAGTAAGANGATTGAAATGTCTTCCTTGTATCAATGAAAATGAATCCTAAAATTTTGAATTTACAACAACATTCATTTGCATTCATATTTATGAGAATTATATTTAGTTAATTATTCTGTTAACTTTTTGCCAGTAGATGGGGCGCTACGTGTAAAGCCAGCAATCAGATAGAGAGAAAGTTATCGATATATCGAACTCAAATCGATAATTTGGTGGGTGGGATGTACGACATTATCTATGTTGAAAGTATTTGAACGTAACTGCTTAGTTTCGTAGCAATTGGTCGAACGGCCTGGAAACGGTTTTATCGCTGGCGCAGATTTTGAAATGTAAATGATATAAACCTGAAATACAGATAACATCAATGAATTTCCTTTACACAAAATAATTTCTGACTACAATCAATGGTATATATATTACGACTAAGCACGTAAATTGGATAAAGCTAGGGTCATTGGCTAATGCTAGATTTATCGAATCCGCTCGGTTAAAACAAGTAACAATATTTTTGATTCTTTGCAGACACACTAAGGTGACATATATCAACACTTGGCAACTTATTGACTATTTATTCAGTTGGCTATTTATTCACCAACTGAATAAATAGTCAATAAGTTGCCAAGTGTTGATATATGTCACCTTAGTGTGTCTGCAAAGAATCAAAAATATTGTTACTTGTTTTAACCGAGCGGATTCGATAAATCTAGCATTAGCCAATGACCCTAGCTTTATCCAATTTACGTGCTTAGTCGTAATATATATACCATTGATTGTAGTCAGAAATTATTTTGTGTAAAGGAAATTCATTGATGTTATCTGTATTTCAGGTTTATATCATTTACATTTCAAAATCTGCGCCAGCGATAAAACCGTTTCCAGGCCGTTCGACCAATTGCTACGAAACTAAGCAGTTACGTTCAAATACTTTCAACATAGATAATGTCGTACATCCCACCCACCAAATTATCGATTTGAGTTCGATATATCGATAACTTTCTCTCTATCTGATTGCTGGCTTTACACGTAGCGCCCCATCTACTGGCAAAAAGTTAACAGAATAATTAACTAAATATAATTCTCATAAAAAAAATATAATTCTTAAAATATATATATATATTATATTATATTCACNAAAAACGGCCCCCAACATTTGGGGTCGTCTTCTAGAACAGATACAAAAAAATTAGATTGAAATTTACGTAAATTAAGACCATTATAAAAAAACGGGCAAACCGTAATTATTTACCAGTAGAGAGTAGGGCATGTCCACAAAATAGAATAGCCCATACGACGTTTTTGTAAATAGTCTAGGTTATTATCCAAATGCCCGAATCATTGCGAATGTTTGCAACTATCGCAAGGCATGCTGCTAGATGCGAGAAAATAAAATTTGTTCGTTCGAAAAATTGTGAATAAGACATAATTCCGTATAGGCTATACAGTATTATTATTATTTAGATGACGATCACTGATCTGAACTAAATTCATAGGCCGTTGATAGTTTGTGAGTCGTCTTATAGGACAGATATATGCTAAAACAATAAAACAGACGAAAATTTATACCTCATCTTATCTGCGGAAATATACGGTAATTCTATCGTGTTATATAAATACAATATTTTTGCTTAATATGTATATATTCATATAAATTAAAATTAACCTGGTTAGTATATAATATGAAATTCTGTTTAGCTTATCTGAAAACAAAACGAAATTAACAAGCAAAATATTTGTTAATTTCATTTTAAACAAATGGAATCTCTAATCTATTAGATTTGTTTTTAAATTATTTGTTTTTGTTTCTATAAAGTTCTTACTAATTCGAAAGTTCAATTTTAGCCTTTATTTCCAAAAAGTAAGAAAGGATCTTGTCGAATTCTCTCTAACTGGAAAATGTTTTTAAAATTGTTTCTGAAAAGCTTCAAGATTATCAAATTATTATAGCAAATACATAATTTAAGTACTTTAACTCTGTTTTTTCTTAATAAATAATAATCAAATCTTTTAAATAATGATTCATTGCCAATTTTCAAATTCATTCTAAAGATAAGATGATACCAGAACACGAAATTTTAATATAAAAGAAATCTATATTAGAAAGCAGATACGGTTATTCGTTAAATATGAAATTCTCTAATAGAATGGCTGATCACATATAACAAAAGTTTTGTCTCAAGTGAAAAACGAAACCATGTGCTTTGTTAAATTATCTGACACGTGATAGAGACTTTTGTTTGTATTTCTATAGAGCAGATGGTTTGTTCATTTCGGTTCATTAAGTTTTAAGTATTCAAAATATCAAATATTCGATATATTCGATACTGAATATACTTACACATTAGTTTACGATTAACCTATATTATTAGATAAATGTTTTCCCACGGTATTAACTATAACAATGCAAACATTTTTTTCAATTACAGTGGTATCTCAGTATACGTCTGCTTTAGAATACGTCCAATTCGGAATACGTCCTGTTTGGACAAAACAAATTTTGCTCGCTATACGACTTTTGTTCTGTATACGACTTAATTCAATTATACGTGCCATCTATGAACAAGTAGTATTAGACTAGACGTTCAGAATTGGTGTATTAGACTAGACGTTCACGGTGCCACGGTTTATAACTTTGTTAAATTTCTTCTGATTTTAATTTGTAAGTAAAATTTTATTATTTTTATTAATCATGAAATGAAAAAAGGCAAATGAAAAGCAACAGAAAACTAAAACAATGACTAGAATCACAAATGGAACTGATAAAAGAGATTGTTGAGAAATACGAAGGTGGCATGAGTGTTCGAGATTTTAACTGTTGCATACCGTATTCCGAGAACGACGATATCGACAATCATAAAAAATAAAGACATTATTAAATCTGCTAATGTTGCGAAAGGGGTTAAATCAATTTCTAAACAGAGATCGAAGACATTAGATCATGTTGAAAAATTGCTTTTGCTTTGGATAGCTGAAAAACAATGTGCTGGAGACAGTGTATCGGAAGCAATTATTTGCGAGAAAGCTAAAAAGATACATGCTGACCTCATGGAAAATCAAGCAGGAACTAGCCAGGAAAGCGAGGTGTTTAAAGCCAGCCGTTTTTTTTACATGAGAACGGATTAATCATTTTTACATTACTTCTTATGGAAAAGGTTGATTTGGTACAAGTCCAATTTGGTATAAGTCCAAACATCAGGAACGGATTAAGGTCGTATACAGAGGTTCCATTATATTTTAACGTAAAAAACTAATGACATTATTTCTATACAAAAGTAGGAATATATACCATGAATTTTGAAACCCTTCACTTGCTGGAATCAGTGTACATAACGGTGGAGTTGACACTGTGGTAACGGGATAAAAACCGCCTTGCGCATACATAATTTGATATTCTACGGAAAGAAAAATATCATGTTTATCAGTTTTTAACGTAAATAAAAATGTTTAATAAATTTTATTACTATAGTTTATAAATAAATCTTTGAAATAAATCGAAATTTTGTTCAATACTTTGAAAATAAAGTAAACTCCGTTGGCAAGTTTTATTTAGACTCAAGACGAGTTACTAATTAGAAGGTCTTGTCTTGTGTTATTAATTTAATATGGAGACTCTAGCCTGTTGGCTTTTTCCCCGAATCACCCCGCTTAGAAATTAGGTAAACCGGGTGGTGCAGTGAACAAAACGATCCAAGATTTCGATATGTTGGCGAGGAGGAAGGTCAGTATGAGACTATGAGGAAAGTATATCGGAGTTAATGTACGGACGATAGTGAGGTCCAAGGTTAAGAAACGGCCTAGCTCTTGGCGGGCTCGTGTGTATTGCGGGCAGACAAGCCAATAGTGGACGAAAGTTTCTGGCGAGCCAGTGGGGGCAATATGGCGAGGCGCATTGGTTCTAGTTAGAAAAGAAGTACAGTACCAACATTTATATAGGCCTATATTTTTTCACTTTGTTCTAAAATGAAGTATTCCCTTAGACTTGTTATATAATTTTAATTACAAACAATTAAATTTTCTAAAAGATATTTACGATTATTTTATTATGTTAAAAAAATAAACCTTAAGCGCCCGTCATATTTTAGTGCAATAAAATAAGACTATGAGTACTACTATATTAAATTTAAATTTTAATATTATTATTACCTTTTATCAAAAGTACATTTTAAATACAGAATTTGTAATTTGTTATAACTAAATACTTGATTTTAATTAAATTTTATAAGTATACTTATAATAATAAATGCATTCGAACATACCTGAGATCTTCGTTGCAAGGAACTCTTCAGAGAAGCGAGAAATAATTCTACAAAAATGTTGGCCCCATTTAAATACTATCGCTGAACTCACGTGAGCTTGACCCCCTGTAAACAACCCAATCAACAGTTGTGACTAACGTTGATTCGCTGCTTAGTCAAGCCTTTCAACGAATCGACCATTAACACACGGGCTTACATTTATTTAAAACTAATTGAATTTGGACATTAACTGCTCGATTGCAGAGTTTGTGTTAATATCAGAACAGTGTAATGTTGCATGCTTTCAATTTTCCAAAATTATCCGTTATTACTTAGATCGTTATTTTAAAATTTTTAAAGAATAAAGAAAGTATTCATCAAATATTTATGATTTTCATTTTTATGCCTATTTACATTGAAAATCGAAGTAAAAAACATTATTACTATATTTGATTTTTGAATTTGTATAAAACTTCAATACTTATTTATTTCCTCTTATAAAAGAAATTAAAAACATTAGATATAGCCTACATGTCGAGTTCGTGGGTATAATAATGCCTAAATTTTTCTAGAAATACATAGTTTTAAATTTCATAATTTTAATTTTGTACATAACAAAATATTGTTCATTTAATGTATTTGATTAGCCAAAATTCTTTTATTCGCTTTGTGAAAGCCATAAATGTTACTAGGCGTATTAATGATTTCATGTTAATTCTATCATTTATGTAACATACAACCGTTATTGTTATATTATTTCATACTTTTAGATATTTCACTGTTTCGAATGAGATATTCAACTACAAATAAGACATGGACAATTCACTCATAGTACTAAATATTACGTGTTGCTTCTTTATTCTTGAATTTTCATGTTTATTTTGAACGTTTTGAATTGAGCAGCTATAGCCTGTATGACTATGTAAACCATTGTTCCAAAGAATTATACCAACTAGCCAATATGCAACACCCTTTTTTCTCTTTTTTTTATTTATATAAATTAAGAAATTGCATAAAGTTTTGCTTTATGAAATAAAATTATGGAAGTATCGAAAAAACAAAACAAAAAAAAAGTGTACGTGAAAGATATGTTAAGGTGTGTTAAAAAAACAAAGCTACTTGTGTAGGCTTCGAATAATAAATACAATACTTAAGTGTCCTTTACTATGATCTTTTCATACCTGTTTAAGTCATGATGAATCAGGAGATTTAAGCTAACTTTTCAAATTCATTTTTCGGACGTAAATGAAAGGCCAAGTTTGCTTAAATTCTGATATTCAAACACGATGTGTGCTTTCACCTACACACTATTAGGAATATTATTTTCTGAAAATATAAATTTATCTTTTATCCATTTGTGAAAATGCAATTTAAGTATTGTAGCAAGCGAACGTATTATAAGCCTCTCGCAAAAATAATTAATAAATTAATATAAAATCGATTTAATAAAAACAGAAATGTAAAACCGTGTTATATACTATAGATGTTGATTATCAGTCGTATAACTTATACCGAATAATCGATGAAATATTGGAGTCGGTGTTTGCAATTTTGGCATAATACTATAAATTACTTGGATATGAAATGCTTGTAGTTTGTTTTAATCAAATTTTGATAATCTATCTTCCAATAACCGATGCATTCGTATACGCAAGTCGTTATTTTTTTAATCCATTTGTTATTGTAAATCACACGACGACAGAGAAAGATGACTTATGGAATTAGCTAGCTTTAGGCTATTATTGTCTACATACTTTCTTTTGAACATATCAAGACTTGTATGTGTGAAAGTATTTTGTTTTTACAAATAAAAGANTTTTATCCATTTGTGAAAATGCAATTTAAGTATTGTAGCAAGCGAACGTATTATAAGCCTCTCGTAAAAATAATTAATAAATTAATATAAAATCGATTTAATAAAAACAAAAATGTAAAACCGTGTTATATACTATAGATGTTGATTATCAGTTGTATAACTTATGCCGAATAATCGATAAAATATTAAATTAGGTTTTTGCAATTTTGGCATAATACTATAAATTAGTTGGATATGAAATGCTTGTAGTTTGTTTTAATCAAATTTTGATAATCTATCTTTCGATAACCGATGCATTCGTATACGCAAGTTGTTATTTATTTTATCCATTTGTTATTGTAAATCACACGATGACAGAGAAAGATGACTTGTAGAACTATTAGCTAGCTTTAGGCTATTATTGTCTACATACTTTCTTTTGAACATATCAAGACTTGTATGCGTGAAAGTATTTTGTTTTTACAAATAAAAGAAGTATGAAGAGAACGTGCTTTATGTTAAGTTTATATGAAATATCACAACGATAAGCCTTATTTGTACAAGCATTATTTGATATCAAACATTAATATGCATTTCGATTTTCAAATTTATTAAGGTGGAAAATAGTTAAATTTTTACGTTTTAGACAAACACATAAAATCAGATAATTCTTATTATTATGGATCTTCAACTTTTATCTTATAATTAATTAATGGTCTGAATAATTTAAGCGCAGAAACAAAGTAGATTAATAATTATATTTATACGAAATAAAAAAGAAACGTTTAATAGGGAACATTGCTTCTATGGATACTTGAATAAATTATTCAATAAACAAAAACACAATCGATTAATTTAGCCCCACTTGATAATGTGTTAAAGGTTAATCCTTCGAAAGTCTTGACTAAAGCATGAATCGACATGAGTCAGAACCGGCTGCCTTATTAGAATAATAGTTTGAACCATATGACATTAGTTACCTCATTTTGGTCGGACCAATATTAAGAATTCATAGTTCTTTTTACCTATGTTTCCTTAATATTTTAATTTTTTTTTTATACTGTCCACGTGGACCTTGTTTATAAATAGGACTTATTATACTGGTGTAGTTTCTAACTAGCAAAGAGAGGCAGTTTTTGTTTGCTATCTTTACCTGAACAATATAAAAACAAAATTAAGAATGCTTTTATCTGCTACAACCGCTTCCATCAACGAAGTATTTGCATTGCTCTAATACAAATTCTGTATTTCAAAAGTATCAACCATCGAAAACAAAAAAATAATAATAATAATAAATAAAACGAAGTCATTCTTTGCTAACATCTTGACTCATTTAAATAAAGACGAAAGTTCGGTCCTCAACTACAGTCGAGCAAACTTTGCTCAATTACTTATGGTTTACACGTATTAATTTGCCTATTAACGTAACTAGAAATACTTTAGTCTTATTTAAATGTACAGTTATTTATTCTGTTTGGCATATTCACGTTTAATCGTTGAGGATATATGCTACAGTGTTTAACGTAAAATTTAATCTCAGAAAACAAGAATTTACCATATCAACTTATTCAGCTAGTAATTAAGAATATACAAATCGGTGTTTAACACTGATCAATTCTAGATAAATCTCTTTTGTGTAAAATAATAAAGTAATCTATTATAATAATTATTTTCCTGCTGAAATAAGTTTACTTTCTTCTTTAAGTTATCGGAAATTATTGAAATTAGAAAAAATTTGCCAAAATTAGAAAATTTAATAATTAGTCTCTTATCGATATAGGCTAAGTCTCCAATATTTCGATACTAAAATCCAGCATCGAGTTTCGTAATATTCCCGGCTAAACTTTGAAATCGTGTGTGGCACCATCTATTATAAAAAGTTTTTAAAATAAAATCTCATATTATTT